AAGCCATTGGTTTGGGAAATAAACCGTTTCAAGCCATTCCGTCCGTTTGTTTCTTAATTTGAAACTGATCAACACTTTTGAATGTTCCAAGGAAAATCCAGCGTGACACAGCATCTCCACGTGGCTCAAGTGAGAAATAATTTGCCTATCTATAATTGCTTTTCCGTTTACTTTCTGTAATTCTAAGCACACTTCAACAATTAACAAGAAATTAAGGTTTCACTCGTTTATTGGCACAAGCTATTTAAAATGTTTGACGTTCCAATGGCTTTGATCTCACGAGAAAATCAGCTTATTCAATCCGTAGTTGAGCACCATAAATCATAAACATTGTCTTGGTTATAAACAGTGAATACCGTGAATACCGAGAACTTGTGGTGTCACTTGCTTTTTCCACAGGACCACGTGCTTTCTCCTCCGTTGTATCCCCAGTAATTAGTGAACCAGTTAATCAGTAGTTTCCCTGCTCGATTTATAATATTTAATATAATTCAGCAATTATTATCCAACATTTTAATTGTCTTGTCGTTACAGCGAGAATTTTAACTGGAAAGTTGGAGCAAGAATTTATTAATATAACAAGGGTTAATTATCACTTTGAACCTCCGCGACTTTACCAGGAAAAACAATACCGTAAACCCCCTTCGATATCACACTAATTTAAATTAGCCAGATGATTGTCGTCAAATATGCATTATTTTCAACTCATGTCGATACTGGTTTCCACATATCTGTTTCTCGGAAAGTTTCCTGACGACAACGTTACTTCCCTTTCTTGCAAAATGAAGGGAAGTTCCCATTTGCCTCTCAGCTTGTATCAATTATAGATAATACGTTAATCAAATGGGAAGTAATGAAAAATTAACAATAGAAGTGCGAAGTGTGGCAGAGTGTGCGATGGCCATGCATTTTCCCACTGTCGATAATTATTTGCCTTTGCCGGGGAGGTCGGTAAAATTACTTGGGATGGCACTCCGGGACTGACTGGTTATTTTGGGAGTGCTTGTTGAGTGCTTTTTGAGTGAGCTCATGTTCAAATTGACTGCCAGCATCAACAAAGTTTCCAGATTATTGTGGGTGACAAGTTACACTACCTAATCTCACTATTCTGTGAGCGATGTTTCATCTAAAAGTAAGACGAGTCCGTTTTTACGTCTAAAAGTAGGGAAACAGTAAATACCATCTATCTTAAGTCTCAACTAATTGTATTGTGTTTAAATACGTTAATACTTTAACCAACTCAATAAACCAATCCCAAAACCCATTACCCAATCCTTATGAATAGATAGATCCGATTTGATAAGCGCTCTAGATTTTACAGCTGTATTGGTGTCTGATCTCCCTTAGCCCAAGGTGTCAGCCCAGCACCTCTCTCAATTTACAGTCTCAACGGTCTGTCAATTACAGGTCTATCCATACGTCACGATACTTTAACCAATAAAATCACCCAGTTCTCCATTCCAACCAACCAGAGAGCACCACTGGGCTGAGGTCGGAATTTCAGAGCTCGAGTCTAGCCAGGTCCCACGAATGACCAGGCCACTAAATCAATAACAGTTATAAAGTTCTGACAAGCCCTCTCAATCAAAATCCTGTTAGCTCTACTCAGCACTTGCTTGCCAACCATGTCGTCAGCTACTTGACTCTCGGCTGACCTGTTTCCTGCGGTTTCATTGGGTGTTATGCGCGGTCACGTGACCGATCATATCTGCTTTGGCTTGATCCAGAGCCTGTATTTTGCCCCATGAACCCTATTGTTCTCTATTGTGAAGTCTAAAAACATAGTGCAGACTGAACTGATGCAGGGACTTGTGAGTTGAGATAATCCCGTCCCTTCTATCATTGACTCTTAGCAGACTTTTATCCGGGTCTACAACTTGTGATTCGTTGCAGCTTCGTCCAGTATCGTCTGAAGATATCGGCATTTACGTGGCGACTTTAAGCGCACATCTGATTTAGTTATTTGTAATTTGTTACCGTTAGTTTCCGATCCACCACTCCGAAAATGGTGATATTTTGAAGTGTTGTATTTACTACGAATTAAACGAACTTTTAAAATTTTACCGAATTTTTAAGTTGCTTAATTGCAATGTTTTTAACAATTTCCTAATATAAGGTTTACACGAGGGAAATAGATAAAACGTGCCCTTATTCGTTCTGCAACATGTAACAATATAAAAGCCAAGATAATGAAGCTTATTACTAAAACTATCACTAATTCTACGATCTTTAAATAATATTCCTAGCAAATTATACTACCTTGATATCTTGGTATATATATAAAGCGAGACGACACATATCTGTTGCTATTTTACTGACACAACGACATGAACTGTAAAACGAATTTTTCTGCGGAAACCGCGAGAGATATATAATTGAAACCTTTTTGGCTGAGTTGGATGACTTATTGCCTTTTTGACCAGTATGAAGAAATTAAAAATTGGCCAAGGAATAAGAACTTTAGGTCCCGAAATTTGGACCCGCAAGTGGTGTCAAAATCACGAAATAATTAAATATTGTTGTCTCAAAACACCATTTTGGGGTTAGCTGGGTCTTGATAACTTCTCCGACGTTTACATGGATATTATAATATTTGTATACTTACTTCGTTACTTCGTTGAGTTCATCCGTGGAGTTCATACCTTTATAATAATTTTGATAACTTCGCCGACAATCACATTATATTTACTAAAAGGACGATTAGTATGTTAGCTGTGGACAGTATATTACAGTATATCACCTGACATATAAACTCTAAACTTCCCGTCAGTTTGTAAGTAGTCTGGTTATCTTTTAATCATACTTATTTATACGGTGAGATGAGACCGTCTGATGAAGATATGGGGTTCTTTCGCCGATTTAAATCATCAGCTTAGTATCCTTACTATATGCTAAGAGTTTATATGCGATACTTCCTGACAAGAAGTAACCAGCCGTAAATTAGTTTATATTTACGTCCTATGATTGGCTGCCGGGATTATTACTGATTGATTTACGCAAGCCACTTGATCGGGTCCCAGTTTATCTCGGTTGTCACAACATGAACATTGATACTAGTTTTGTGGTGATCTGGTCAGTTCTCATTATCCACTCTCCAGTAATCATTGGGAGTGATTTTCTATCTTAACCGTCGGTTTTATCACGCGTTTTCAAAAGTATAACCATCTCCATCGATTAGATAGATTAAAGAGGTTATGGTCGAACTCGGGTCTTGTGAAAGACTATTTTTAGTCAACCTCATTTTACCTCATTTACCTCGTAGTTTGGTTTAATACTGCTGAAGGCTGGGTAGGGGTGGGGGTCAAAACTCCAATCCTATGCCGGAAATTGTTTTCGGGAACTTTTATATTTCGGTCATTCATCATGTTATCATCACTTAAACTGTTCTTGACTTGGATGGATTCATAAACGTTAACCCGTTCTTATTAAAATCAAAAATGGGCGATTTAAGACTGCGGGTTTACCAACTAGTCATTTATAAAGTATAAACTTACCAAGATGAAAAATTAACGATATTTTGTTTTCTACGGTCCATGATTTCTATCTTGTACCAGTGTCCAGTGGCAATTGAACAGATTTTGCCGTAAAAAATGACAAGTTCTAACTGTTTAACCCGTACTTTATAATCACATATGGGAAGGTGAAAATGTCCAATAAGTGCCCAGTTAAGTTGCCCTCCCGTTAATATCTTAACATCTCACGCGGGGAGGTATAACGTAATAAATCTGCCGTTATATTAATCGTACAGTTAGGGTATAGAGCTTATCATTATCTTGCTGAGATCCTCAGGTAAATCATTATCTTGATCATTTTTACGCTGCAGTATGATGTTGTTCAACATAATCACATATAATGCTGTGTTTATACCCCGTATAATTCAACACATATAACCCCCTATAGTATTAGTTCAACACTGATTTTCAGGAACATTTACCAGTATCGTTCGTTAGCCCGGTATTATATGAAAATTAATCTTGTAAAAACACTTTCCGGAGTTAAGCCAATTGTACTTGTAGCATTGCTGCAATCCTGATACCTGTACGAATGGGCAGAGCATAAACATGGCGCACGTGCAATTACCTGGCGCACGTGCAATTACCTGGCGCACGTGCAATTACCCAAAAACAGGGCCCACGTGCCCAGTCAGACTATGCCCAAATAATCCCAGACTCCCCCAATTATTTTCATACTCGAGACCCCGCATTAGAACCTGCTTAGTACCCGTCAGCAGTCAATATAGAGGTCGTTTATAGTTATCAAATTCTCTCCTCATTTTGGGGTCACGTGACTGCAATACTGCGCTCTGATTGGTGGAGGCCATGTTGTCCTGCACCTCACTGGTCGGTGTAAAGTAGAGGTGAACTGGGGGGTCTGCGACAGTCTCCTTCAGTAAGTCTTCCTCCTCATTTGCTGGTTCACGGGACGTCCCATTACAGCTGGCACCTGACTAGGGGGCTTATAAATACAGGAGGAAGTTAGTGAAACGTTCCCATTGCTTTTCAGAGGCTTTCGTTGAAGTGCTACTGCTACAGAGTATTTTATAAAGGAGCAGAGGTGTAGTGCAGTAGTAAGGTGATGTGCCTGCTTATCATGGATGTAGTAAATATTGATCGAATATTTAAACATTTAATTATAGCATGCGTTGTTTTGGGATGATGGGAGCAGTTAAGTCATTTGTCAAATATTGTTGCAAACGATATTGAGAGAAATAACTCATTTGTTGGGAACGTCAAAAACCATTTTATAAATCTTTGATTGCAAAGCAATTTGTTTGATTGCAAAGCAATTAATTTGGGATCCTATAAGAATGTTTCAACTGTCACCTCGACCAATTTTGATTTTGATTTTGTTACCTAATAAATTCGCGTTGTGTACTTTATAATCTCTCGTAACTTTGCATTAGCGTGACCAAGCCTAAAAAATCTTTAAAGTTAGTGTTACACGTATTTATACAATAGCGAAAAGTTTAAATAATTTTAACGACCACTTGTTATAGGTTACAACATATGATGATTCCAACAATGTCCGACTACGCGAGTTACCTTGGAACAAACCTTGCCAGCCTCCAGAAGATGCAGACTAAGACCAAGAGCTTCCGAATAGAGGACATCCTGGACATCCGGGACCAACAAGACCAGATCTACACCGGGGTCAGGGCTGAATGTAAGTTAGCGCTCTGTTCGTCTAATTTTAAGCTCTTTCTTTCTTTTCTTTGAGCGACTCCTGTTAGTTAAAATATTGAGTTAAGCCTGGTGGATGTTTGTGTAAAATATGGGTGTTATTGGACTTCTTTTATTGCTTACTATTCTCTACGATCTTTGATCCGCAATTCGCACTTGATTGATGACAAGTCCACAACTCTTGAAGATCTTAGATCGTGTACACTAAACCACCATCCTATAATTTAGTGGCAACATAACACCAATCCTGCTCATCTAATCGTCTCTTTGCCCTTATAAGGCAGTTTTTCGCACCCTTCCTATCTGGTCGATTGTCACTCAATTAGATCTCCAAATCTGATACTTATGGGACGAGGCGGTGTTGTTGCTGGAGGGGGAGAGCGTGTTGTTACGTTATCAGGCCCGCCTTTCACTGTAAACAAGGTGCTGATCCGGCGGTTGCTTGAGACACCAGGGTTTTAGGGGGATTAAAATTTCATATTTGCTAAGACTTGATCTCTATCGTTTAGATCAGAACAGGTCTCAAAAGGTTCAGGGTTTTGGGTTTATCTTTTATTGTACCGCTAAAATTAGCTCTCCCAGTCTTGTGTCAGTGTCACGTCTGATTTGAAAATTGGTAGGTGTAAAAATCTAATTGATCTTATCAGAAATCGTTTTGAAACACGACCCTGGATTCCTCACCTTCAATTATTACGCTATTTGGGTTGAGTTACAGGGGCAACTAGATACGTCTGAAAACCAGCCCCTGGCGCTGCTAGTTCTGGGAAAATAGGGGTACTTTCACACAAATCCATGTATTTTCACACCTACAGTAGAATACTACTTCTGTAGTAAGACGTTATTGATTACCTCATCAGTTTAAATAGTAGCACAAGTACCAATATATGAGTACTACTGTAGTCATGGTAACCAGTATATAATAAAAAGTACCCTAATTCTGTAGAGGTACTTGGAGAAGTGTTGGAGTGCTCTGTTAAAAACTTTTCTCATCACTTCGTCAATTTAAATTTCATGGTGGGAGAGGATCAGTGGATCACTGCCTGCAATCAAACTTTTAGAACTTGTGGAAAAATGGAACCAACATATTATGGCCTTGGTGGTTGAAAACCGATTTTTATGAATTAAACAGTTTATGTGCTTTTAAAAGTCTGATTACAAATCAATATGCAACCAGTTCCATCTGCCTTATAACCACATGCTCCTTCTTAAACTTTCCCATTCTGTATGTTTTAATCAACAGATCTCAGTTCAAACACTGTAACCATTTTAATAATATCCTGCACTCAACAATTGTTACATTTAATAACTTGTTAAACACTCTTGAGCCCGGTCCATTCTTTACATTAATTTCGCCAAAGCACACGGGAAAAGTGCTTGTTAAATCTTAATTAAATTAGAGCAGAGTATTTTATAAAGGAGCAGAGGTGTAGAGGCCAGCATGCGATTATTCGGCTCTAAAGATGCTGTTTAGATTAGGGCAGACTGTAGTGTTAGTGAACCCTTGCGTGAAAATTGAGAAGAAAGTGAGATGAAATTGAGCTGGAATTGTCTAGAAATGGGGTGTTCTGATTGGTTGTGATATGTCACGCGATCAAGGCTTTTGTTTCAGCCAGCAACAGAATGGATGAGAGTTTTTTTGCGAGTTTTACACAAATAATTGACAAATTGAACTTGCGAAGTGAATTGTGAACATGCAAGTCGTTACAGAATTTGTTTAAAATGTTGTTACAAGTATCAGTATGGCTGCCCAGTCATTACAATCATCACAATGGGGCATCATAAGTTTGATGATTGATCAAAGTTCCGTTGGAGGTCAATAAACGTTCCACTGAATTTAACAAATATCTTTTTCAGGTGAAGTAAACTGTTACGACAAAATGCGGCTAGATGGAAAACGTATCAGAGGACCGAGAAAAGACAGAACCATATTCAGCAAGATACAGCTCTTCCGCTTAGAAAGGTGAGTTCCATCTTCAGTCGGCCAAAAATCCTGAAATCATCAATATTTCTCCGAATTTCTATATCCTCATTCTTTGTTTCCGGTTTAGCCCCGATCACGTGATTCATAACCAGGAAGTAAGACCATAAGTCGCTCCCACTGTGCCCCAGGTGTGCCCCGGGAATTTCAATTTTGTGCCCCAGCTGTGCCCCATCTGTGCCTAGCTAGATTATCAAGTAGGCATTCTTGTCTATGAAACATGCATTCCAGAGCGAGTCATAGTCATTGAGTTCATACTAATTTGGCATTACTTTGGAACCGTACTTCACATGATGACTCTGTCAACAGGGTAGTAGAGGCCAGGTCTGATTGTATCAGCATCACACTATCACGTGACATCACACTATCACATGTAATCAGGCTACTCAGCTCCTCCTTTTCTGCAACTGTTTGACTGTTGAGTACCCGGAGGTAATCTACAGTAAATCAGCGTCATCACGTCTGATTACCCCACAGGCTATTTACCTTGTCACCATCACTCTCTCCTCTTCTCACTCCTTTTCTCCCTGTCAACTCCTACTCACCTCCTCCACTTCCCTTGACAGAAACAAGCCGATTAGACCGCACCATCACACTAGAGAGCGTGAAAATGTGGTTACTGTCACACAATTTATACGAGACGAGGCAGAGGTTCCTACTCAGAGAGAAGGTATCCCGGACTCTGATAACAAGCAAGGGTGGGCTAATTCGGGGAGCATTAAAAGTTAATTTGAGAGCACGTCGTCAGCTGGCTTGCAACGTCTTGATTGGTCCCGTCTAGTCAAAGTACTGTGTCAACGCCTCCCACGGCCCAGACTCGTCACAGACTCGTCACATGACCACCGGGGGACGGTCACTGAAACGCAAGCTTAGTCCTCTATAACGGTCAAAATAGTCGGCAAACATATTTGTCAGCTGGGTAGACGGTCTTACCCTCGGTCAGACCTGAAGTCAGCCTGCAATCTGACGGCATGGCCTGACTGAACCTTCATTTAGACGGAGATTCTATGTAGATTTTTGCCTGAATATATAGCGATGTGTCCAATTCCTTCTCTACCTCTCAGTTTGTGGGGGTGATAACCGCAGGTGACAAATTGGGCATTCAACCGATCACCAGATTGCTGATATACTCACCCCTCTCGCTTCTAGACAAGCTTTACTGACAAATTAATTACCTTAACTACTGGAAATGAGCGATACAGTTGCTTGTTTGCCATATTAAGCTCTTACTGGGATTGCTAAATTAAATATTATCCCAATGCCTCTGATTGAATAATAAAGTATTCTGTACGGCTAGGAGCTAGGCACCGCGTCGATTATATTCACTTTCCCTTGCTTGACAAATTGCAACATTTAATTAAAACACGCTACAATGTAACGACTTTTCTAAAGTTTGCATAATATGCCTCGGCGGTTACCAATCCTCTGAATAAGTGAGTCGCGGTGAACCGGTAAAGCGACCTACTAACATAATTTATAATTTAGTACCGATTAATTTCACCGCTACACGTCAACGTTTAAGCTTCACTTCGATCACACAACCGGTCCGGAACAACATGGGAAGTAGATACCGGCACGATTGAAGAGTTAAAACTTCTGTCCCCGTCGCCGTGTCGCCACAGACTTCCTGGCGCTGGGCTTGACAAATTCCAGTCTATGCTGTTGTCTAAAAGAGAGCTCGTATCCAGGCTGAGGTGATGTAAGAGTCATGGGAGTGTCCCTCTCCGGGCCGGACAGCGTGCCATCGGCGTGCAGCCCCGGAAAAACCCTAGCCACTACAGTCACACAGTGACAGTGGTTCAGATGCGTGGCAGCTTGTTTAGTCTGGTTTTAACCGGGCTTGTTTAGTCTGTTTATTAACCACTAACCAGGTTTATTTTTCAGGAGATTCCACGATCAGAAGTACCTGTCCTCGTACGAAAAAGCTCTGATTGCTCACTCACTCCAGTTGACTCAACAACAGGTTAGTTTATAATTTAGCATTTTCACTTGCAGTGTGTAACAAATTACAAGACCAAATCTTGCTTTTTATTTTCATTCATAAGTTAGGTTAGCCCCTCTATATAATCCAAGATAACTATTCCTGATCGATATCTCTTCAGGTTCAAACGTGGTTTCAGAACCGCCGAGCTAAAGCAAAGCGAGAGGAGAGAGAAAAAGAAGAAACAAGTGGGCAAATCCATCGGCTCCTCCCCACCTCCTTCATCCTCATCCCCTGGGGGATCTTTCGAAGTAGATGCTGACACACCCACCTCTTCCGGATATGGAATGCTCTCTGATAATACTCTGACCGGTAGTCCTCTGTCTCCCTCCAGACTCCAGTCTCCGCGTGGAGGTCGGTACTTTAAAAACCTAAATAGGATCTTACAAATTTTTAATATTTCATAAATATTTATTTGTGTGACCATGAATCTTTAGAGTTGGAATTTGTGGTCGGATTTGATCGTTTGCTTATTTTCCATTTAATTTTATATTATACTCCATGTTGACCGCAAAGTTTTTAAACTTGGAGAGTTAAAACCAAGACCAAAACAAAAGGTTTTAAAATGTAATGGAATGCCTAATTTTTACTCTATACGTTTGCTAACATGCCTGAATTTCCTCAGAAGAATCCCCGACAGCCGGCACTAGGCTCTCTCCAGTCGGGACCTCCCTAGTATCCTCACCTCCCCCCACTCCCCTCATATCTACAACTTCTCCCCTCATCTCGAGATCTCCTCTTATCCCCACCTCTCCCTTTGTGTCCACCTCGCCCCTTATCTCTACCTCACTCATCTCCCCTACCTCACTGATATCCTCAGCTCCTCTCATCTCACCTGTTATGAGACTGGTCTCTATGTGCAGTTCAGTGGGTGGTGACATCATCTCTCCCTCCTCCGTCGCTAATAGAGTCCTCACCACTCCTGTCTCAACTAAACCACTGGACAATCAGACGGACAAACTTAGAAACAGTGCAATCCACAGGTTCTCCATTGATCATCTGACATCACGCAGATGAAAGGGAGGGAATCCTGTTGAAATTTGTTTCGACCATATATCGTTTCGCTGTTATGATTTGATTTGAGCTCTCTGATTTGATTGTTGAGCTTGGAGTTTTTGAAAAATACGGTTTGAGTTACTATGCTGTGTATTTATCTCTTATAAAATTCTTATTTTTTAATCGTAGTCAGTCTGGACTGTTTGATGTGAATATTTTGGGCCATATTGCATCCCGTAATGTAGAACCTTCTTATATGTTGAAGCATGAACTCAGGAATAAGACTGTATTGATAAGAATATGTGTAGCTGTATTGGATCTGTTACTTTGGCATGGATAAAATTTATTTTAATGTAAGAATGTTAGGAGGTGACCTTTGGTCTATAAATCCTGTACATTTTAACGAACCTTAGTTATTGTTATTTCGAAATTTACTTTGCTATCATTACAATTCACTGCAGTGAATTGTAATCTTAATTCCCATAAAAATAATATTTTCTGAAACTTATTCTAGTGTATTCTACGATTATTAAGATTCTGGAAACTTTTTGATCAGCCTTTTGGATCTGTACAACATTAAACTGTCTGTTATATTAGAACAGAAGTACAACTAAAAAATATTTCAAATTTAGCATTTAAGGAATTCTAAGTTGAGAGAATTGAATGGATCTTCATAATGTATAAACTGAAGTTAAATTCGAAGTACGTGGCAATGAATTACACTGAGTTATTGAAATATTTTAAATTAGTCCCAACATACGAGCTTTGTGGCCCGAAATAAATTCGATATTCTGAGTATATTATATTTGTTTATTTGTACAAAATGTTATATGCAATGGTGACATGTTTTATGTTGAATTCAATAAATTTGCCTTTTTCATTTGTCAGAAACCTTCATTGCATAATTGCTAAAAAATGTGAACTATAAATCGCGGAAATGTGGGGGTGTGTTCTCGGCCACTATTTCTTAAAAGTATCAAATTTGGAATTGAGCATTTAGATAAATTAAATCAATATTATGACATATCATGGCAATGTTCTTTATTTACAGAACCCTTAAAGTTAAAGTAAATCGTGAGGTTTGGGTACAAGTACCACTATTTTGATATCGACCCGGGTTACTGAAAGTGAATATTTTGGCTGCAGTTTTGAAGAACTCTAAATGCTTGTTAAACACCCCTGCAGGAAGTGTTATTTGTAACCACCCGTATTCGCATTCAGAATTGAGTTGGATTATTCTCTGATAGGAGATCGGGGACGGTATCTATTATTGAAGTAAGACGTAACCAATAATTTAATGGCAAATAAATATTACGCAAACGGAAACAATGGGCTCTGAACTGGTTGAGTTACGTAATTACTTAGCTCTACCTTAACAAAAATAGAAGAAGACGTAGCCTGGGTTGATTTCGCTAGTGTGTCAGTTTACTTCATCATTCTTGTTGTGATACTGTCACTGATGAAATCACAATATCTTACTAGTACTACAGCATATCATGTGAGCAGACAAGTGATAAGGAGAAACCTCAACTAGGATACAGAATTAGTAGTCTAGAATATCCCCATTTTCAATACTTTCAACACTACTATATAACAAATAATTTGAGGGCTTATGTCGCACTGAAGATGACGCCTTGCAACACGTTTGACGATAGCCTGTAAATTGATAGTTTGATAGCAGTATTTACAACAAATTATCTAGCTTGATCGATTCAAAGGGATACAAAAATTCCCACTAAACTGGTTATTTGACACCTACAGCATAGACATCATAGAGGCATTAATGCCCACGTTGGAGAGTTCAGATTCAAATGTTTTAAGAATCCATTTCTTTGAATATAAATACAATAACACGACAAGACCAGCGTCAAGCATGTCGTAATCTTACGTGTACATCTATTTGTTTTAATATTTTTCATTCTTTCAGATATACTGTGACACTTATGAATATCAATTTACATGTTTGATATTAAGGACCTTATTGTATTCTGAACACTGGAACAACTAAAGGTGTTAAAGAGGTGATGATCACATTCACAATATAGCTGTACAGTTTTTAGCAGAAATAACACACACACATTATAAATGACGCGTGCTTGTAATAGGCTCGAAGGTTTGCATAATTGCAGCTGGATTGAAAAAAAAAAGTGTAAGCTAACTCGGGTTTTGTCCATTATCCTAATTAAAATGAGAAGTGAACGGTAATTGAGCTAAAAATATCCATTCAGCTATTGCTTGTTCATATTTTGCTGCCTCTTTTGCCGCCATTAACCGCTCATTATCATTATTCCGACTCATGAATAGCATGCAATAAACGGTAAACCTCCACCAGTAATACTAATGATGTGATGAGAACCACCTCAGGAGCTAATATCTCCACTACTTGCCTATGTAAACCACACTATGATCAGATAATCATCCCGAAAGCAAAACCTATTGTTCGAAAAACTCAGTCCGAAAGCAGTTTGTCTGGAACGGGAAGTAAACGTCCTAAAAAGTCAGTAAACTTGAAACATCGAATCAGAGAAAATGTACGGAGAAAGCTTCAGAAAACCTTAAAAGTAAATGTCAAACAAACTAAAGACAAAACAAAAGCTCGCCCAGTCAAACCACAAAAAGTAAAGTATGACCAGAATCAGTGTGATAGTAAAACGAAGTCAGGATATCAAGTCACCCAAAGGACTAGAAAAAGGGCTCCCTCTGGGAAAGTAAAACCTAAGAGAATTGGCCGGGAACGTGACAGCAATTACACAAGGACAAATAAAGCTGAGTCAAGCAATCAAAGCGCCCAGTCTGGCAAACAAAGCGCCCAGTCTGGCAAACAAAGCGCCCAGTCTGGCAAACAAAGCGCCCAGTCTGGCAAACAAAGCGCCCAGTCTGGCAAACAAAGCGCCCAGTCTGGCAAACAAAGCGCCCAGTCTGGCAAACAAAGCGCCCAGTCAGGAAAACAAAGCGCCCAGTCTGGCAAACAAAGCGCCCAGTCAGGAAAACAAAGCGCCCAGTCTGGCAAACAAAGCGCCCAGTCTGGCAAACAAAGCGCCCAGTCTGACAAACAAAGCGCCCAGTCTGACAAACAAAGCGCCCAGTCTGGCAAACAAAGCGCCCAGTCTGGCAAACAAAGCGCCCAGTCTGGCAATCAAAGCGCCCAGTCTGGCAAACCAAGCTCCCAGTCTGGCAAGCAAAGCGCCCAGTTTCTGAACTGGTATCAGCTCCAACACAGTAACTCACAGCTCCAACACTTCCAGCGTGCAGGTCAGTTGGGGTCCTGTCTGAGTGAAGTGAAAGGGAACAGTCATTGCACCTGCAAGTGCAAAGTCAAAGAATTTTGTCAGTGCAAATGCGAATGCAAGAACAAAGAATTTTGTCAGTGCAAATGCGAATGCATAAACAAAGAATTTTGTCAGTGCAAATGCGAATGCAATTCCAAGACCAAGAAATGGTCTAAATTTAGATGCGAATGCAAAGACAAAAAGTTCTGCGACTGCAAATGTGACTGCAAGGAAACGTTTTGCAATTGCAACTGGAATGCTTACATATGGTGGAATAACCGATGGGAAAATAAACTTGGATATGACTGCATCACACATGGAACTGCAATGAAACGAGAAAATGACCCGCTAGCAAAGAATCGCACAATGATTGATCAGAGCTCAGATAACGAGAAAGTAACTGAAAAACTTCAATATAATTCACTTAAAGACGAGCTGACAGACCCAAGGGTAGACATCTCCGATAGTCTTCACAGTAACGATCAGGCAAATAAGTTTCTTAGTCTGAAAGTCTACAGAGGACAAGGAAGACTCCTCTCAGGGTCTCCAAACCCTGCAGTCACCAAACCTCGCACACCTTCACCAGCAACACCAGGGTCTCCAAACCCTGCAGTCACCAAGCCTCGCACACCTTCACCAGCAAACCCATTGCTCACTTGTGTATCAGAGCAGAGTAGACCAAATATCCCCGTAGAGAACAATCATTCCAACAGCTGCAGTGATAAACACGGGTCCTCAATCTCCGGTTCTCAATCACATCCTGGGACTGACAATTATGAACAAGCATCGCCTTATCTGCAAGATCTACCACATCTTTTTACCTCTAGACTTAATCAAGTTCCTGAAGAATCACCTCATCACAATCCACAACATCATATCTTTCCTGGACTTAATCAAGTTCCTGAAGATTCACCTCATCAATATCCAGAATCTACACTTTCTTCAGCACAATCAACTATTAATGGATCGTCACCGGATTCAATGCTACCACCTTATTGTGAACTGTCAGATGATGGCCATTCTTTAAAATCGACGGGTCAACGTTCAAGTCAACAGCCATTGCCAGGGCAGCAACTACGGCCAATTCAACAACCATTGCCAGGTCAACAGCCATCGTCAGGGCATCAACCATTGCCAGCGCAGTATCCAGATCAACGACCTTGTCCAAGTCAACAACCACAGCAGCAACCACGGCCAGATTATCAACCATTACCAGGTCAGCATCCAGACCAACAACCATGTCAAAGTCAACAGCCATGTCCAGACCAACAATCATGTCAAAGTCAACAGCCATGTCCAGACCAACAATCATGGCCAGGTAAACAACCAGGGCCTCAACCATTGTCAGCACAGTATCCAGGCCAACAACCATGTCCAATGCAACAACCACAGCAGCAACCACGGCCAGATGAACAACCATTGCCAGGTCAGCATCCAGACCAACAGCCATGTCCAAGTCAACAGCCATATCCAGACCAACAATCATGTCCAAGTCAACAAACAGGGCAACATCCATTGCCAGATCAACAACCAGGGCAACATCTATTGCCAAGACAACAACCAGGGCAACATCCATTGCCAGGTAAACAACCAGGGCAACAACCATTGTCAGCGCAGTATCCAGGCCAACAACCATGTCCAAGTCAACAACCACAGCAGCAACCATGGCCAGCACAACAAGCATTTCCAGGTCAGCATCCAGACCAACAGCCATGTCCAAGTCAACAGCCATGTCCATACCAACAGCCATGTCCAAGTCAACAAACAGGGCAACATCCATTGCCAGTTCAACAACCAGGGCAACATCCATTGCCAGGACAACAACCAGGGCAACATCCATTGCCAGAACAACAACCAGGGCAACATCCTTTGCCAGGACAACAACCAGGACAACAACCATTGCCAGGTCAACAACCAGGACAACAACCATGGCCAGTTCAACAACCAGGAGAACATCCATTGCCAGGACAACAACCAGGGCAACATCCATTGCCAGAACAACAACCAGGGCAACATCCTTTGCCAGGACAACAACCAGGGCAACATCCATTGCCAGGACAACAACCAAGGCAACATCCATTGCCAGTTCAACAACCAGGGCAACATCCATTGCCAGGACATCATCCGGGGCAACATCCATTGCCAGGACAACAACCAGGGCAACATCCATTGCCAGAACAACAACCAGGGCAACATCCTTTGCCAGGACCACAACCAGGGCAACATCCTTTGCCAGGACCACAACCAGGGCAACATCCTTTGCCAGGACAACAAACAGGGCAACATTTATTGCCAGTTCAACAACCACAGCAACAACCATTCCCAGGACAACAACCAGGACAACATCCATTGCCAGGACATCATCCGGGGCAACATCCATTGCCAGGACAACAACCAGGGCAACATCCATTGCCAGGACATCATCCGGGGCAACATCCATTGCCAGGACAACAACCAGGGCAACATCCATTGCCAGGACAACAACCAGGGCAACATCCATTGCCAGGACAACAACCAGGGCAACATCCTTTGCCAGGACAACAAACAGGGCAACATCTATTGCCAGTTCAACAACCATGGCAACATCCATTGCCA